CCTTCCCGCTTCTGGGACCCCCTCGCGGGGTGGGCACCTGCCCGAGTGAGGAGCCGGGCTGCCTGGACATCAGCGATTTCGGCTGCCAGCTCTCGTCTTGCCATCGCACGGACCCGCTTCACCGCTTCCACACCAACAGGTACGGACCTCCGCTGAGCGCAGGGGCAAATTGCCCACACCCCTGCCGCCAGCTGGAGAACACGGGGTCGCCTGCATCCTGGCCCTCGGCCTCGGGTCTGCGCTTCCATTCGCCCCCTCCCCCCACCTCCCTGCGACCGGCGCTGGTTCCCGGGCTCCTTCCCTCTCCCCCTCCCTATTTCACCCCTGTCCTCCGATTTTCCTTTGGCCGGCATTTTACTCGCTCTCTTGCCCCCATTCATCTTCTGACCAAGCGACTCCTCCTTTCTCCCTCCCGCCCCATCTGTATCCTGCGAATCCCAAACCCCCACCCTTGATTTTTAGATGCTTCCCTGTTTCCATCCATCCACAAGAAGTTTAACCCCTTCCATTTCCGGTACGCCATAGAGTGAATTTCGGATGGCTCAAAAACAATCCATAGATCTTTCGAAAGGTGGCACTTTAAAAGCTAGAATCTTCCTTTTCCCGATTTTAAACCTGTCTCACAGCCCGATTTCCACCCCGTATCCCCCAATTTTTAGTGAAGCTCTAGGTAACCAGACGATTCCCCCTCCCCCTTTATGAACTCTTTTTCCTAGCGCTGTAGGCCCTGCCAAAATGTATAAGCTTAAATCTGGAAGATTCCTTCATATAGCACGTCCCCTGGTTTGCTCCCCCCGTGGAGGGATGGAGCGAGGCTTAGGATGGGCTGGCTTAAACAAATTTATTCAGACGGTGAACCCCCTAACTGTTTTTACTAGAAGATATAGAGTGTTCTGGAGAATTCCCTGATGCAGACATTTAAGTGTTATATCAAATAAGGGGGATTTGAGGATGTTTTACACATAGACCCAACCTATAGTATAGGTATATGTGTGTGTACTATATAGCATATATTATGTATATATATGTATATGTATATACACACCACACACAGAGGCCTGGGAGAGTGTGTGAACAAGGGAGGAGGGAGGAGGAGAGGGGTTCAGCTATGGAAAACACTGGAGTTGAATTAAGGAGTCTAGTTCTGATTTCTCATCTACAGAACAAATCCTTCTACATTGTAATGTCTTTTGCATGCCCCTCAATCCCATAAAATCAGTCTACAGATTTACTGAGCTTCTACAAATACAAGGAATATGTAAAATATGATTCTTACCTAAAAGAAAGTTATAGTCTGAAAGCAGATGTTATTGTTAAATAATCATACAGAACGCCACTAGAACACATTTGAAAAGGACGCGGTAGGAAATTTGTTTCAACTATTCCAAGTCCTCATTGCAAAAATGAGGAAACTGAGGTCCAGAGAGGAAAGACTGAGTTCAAGGTCATAAAACGGAGTTAGGCAAAGCCAGGATTACTCCTTTGGAGCCTGTGGTAAAACTTGGAACAGAACTAATGGCTCCAGTGTTATAAATGGTTGTTAGAGTTTCTTAGACTAACTCACAGAAGCCTATTTGACCTATGATGTGACTGTAACATGAATGTAACATATTTATGACATTTGCTTAAGATTGTTCGCATTGGAAAATAATATAAAAGAATAATTTTGTGCATATTTAATACTTAAGTTTTGCAGCATTGGAGTAAATCATATACATGGGAAAGATAAATGATCTCAGAATTACCCTGCTCTGATGATGAGGGCAAGGGAATGAGGACAGAGGCTGAGGGTAAGTGCTGCCAAAATGTGTGGGGGTGACAGGGAGTGAAGCATGGTGAATAATATATTTTTTACAGTTTGTTCTGTTCTTTCTCCTCCCCATTTTTCCTTGTGTTTTTCTACTCCTTTTCTTACAGACCTTGGTAAGGTCAAGGTTGTTTTTCAGAATGGGATAGTGAAGATAGAGGAGGTGGTTCCTGTTCAGCCCTGGTTTTCCCAAGTCAAGCATTATTTTTTCTAGTTACTGCCTGCTTTTTTTTTTTTAACACCCCTCTTCCTACCCTAGTTTTCACAAGGCTCAGATTGGTAGCAGGAGGTCTAATGTATCTTCTCTGTACCCTTTTCCGCAGAGACTAGGGGAAGCAGCAGATGATGTTTCTTCCCTAGGCTACCTTGCTTTTTAAGTCTTTTCTCCTTCTGGAATGTTCAACCTTCTTACCCTCTCCTCAAGGTGGCATTTGAGAGGACTGTATGCTTCCAGTCATTTCTTTTCAGGGAGAAGCAAACAGCTAAATCATGTATGTGGACCAAGTTTGGGGAGTTCTTTTATTTTGGAGTTGTATGTGTCACTTTTTTCCTTTATATCGCATCATTCACCAATTCAAGCAACAATCCAAAAACCAGATCTGAATAGTTAAGTTCTGATAGTCTGCCTTGGGTTTAGTCATTATAAAACAAGTTTCATTGAAAGTAGAAAGCTTGTCAGTGGGTAGATACTTGATTTACTTTTTATTTTGCTCAAATTCTTCATTGTTACCAGATAACAAAATTGTGGTAATTGTTTAAATAATGCGGTTGAAAAGGACCTTATGATGATGACAATTTTGTGCCTGCTCATTTACTGGAGTCTGGGCTATATTTGCAGTCTTCATTAACCAAGAGAGTCAAGGCACTGTTACTTGTGATCCCTAGGTTCGGATGTTTGTAGTGTTCAAATTAGAATCACCCATGACTTAGATTGGTGTGTCACTGGTCTAGGTTCAGTAGAAAATAAATTACATGAACATAGCAAGCTTCCTAAGAATTCACAGCTTCCTAGGAGTATCTTTTAGGATTTTATGAACAAGGTGGGTTTGTCTGGAATTTAGGGAGAATAAAATAAACTTCAGTAAGCCAAAAAACCTAAGTATTTTCAGTTGAAATATCAATATGGAGTATATATAGTTTTTAAGACTTTTTTTGGTTTCGGGGAAAAGATTTTTCTGTTGTAATTGTGGGTTTTCTGTTAGCATTTGTCCCATGTAACCTCCACTGTCATCAAAGAAGGATATCATTTAGCAAATTGAAAAAATTATAATGATATTGATAGGTCCTATAATTAAGTTGTGAGATGAAGGGGGTTAATATGAACTACTCAGTGTGTTCTTCTCTTCACCTTTGAGAAGTACATCAGTACTTTGACACTGAACAATTGTGAAAAGCATGTGGGAGGACAGTGTCTCACTTTTGTACACCCTATTGGCAAGATACAAAATGAACTACGTATTGTATAAAGCAGTTACTCATTTCTGTGATTTCAGAGCTCCATTTTCGTCACCATTAACCAGAAAACCCCCAAGACTGCCGTGTACCTTTTGTTCCACCCACAGTTTTCCTGTCTTGTTAGAGAACTAGCGGTGCAGAAGAGTTGCAGGTGGGAGAACCACATTTCATGAAGAGGGATGGGTTGCAGAGGCAGGAGGAATTTGGTTTGGGGACTTGTTAAGACAAGTTGAAAATGAGGATCAAGCTTTGGAGAACTATTCAGGCTAGAAATGTAGAACTGGCAGTAATCAGAACAGAAATTCCAATAGTGTGATAGCAACAGAACGGTGGATAACAAAGCTTAAGAGAACAGAAGAAACTTTTCAATAAATTTAGCAGGGAAAGGAAGGAGAGATGTGGTAATTTGGGGGAAAAAGTGATTTGTTTTTTGCCTTGTTTAGTTTTTATTTTCCGAAAATAGAGATTGTAGCTCCTTAGAAACAGCCCACAGGAAAGGGAGAAATTGAAAATACAAGACCAGGTGGAATGACAGGAGATGGCTGGGATTTACTTAAAGCCCAAATGGAAGAATTAGCCTTAGAAATGAAATGAAATGAAATGTTGTTTGCTTCCCATGCTGTAGAGTGAGTAGGAGGGATGGGTAATAATCCCAAGACAATTGAGGTCTCTGGGAGGAGAGTTGGGAATTTGAGTGAGTAGAGTAGGGGGGTTGTGTCATCTGTTATAACTTGGGCCCTTGGTGGCCTGTTGGGCTCCAGAGATGTAGCAGAGGTCAGGGTGGCTCTATGGGAATTCTGGCAGGGAGTCAGTGATGACTACAAGTGATGACAGGGGACTGTTTCTTGAAAATGAATGTGTGGCATGGATTTGAAATGACTTTCATCCCACTTGATAGTAGGACGTCATTCCACAGTACTCACCTGCTGGATTCTCATCCTGAGAGGTAGTAGGTAGGTATACCTGAGAGAGAAAGGGCTGCGAAGACTGTGTATATAGTGCACGTGCTTTTCTTAATTTTACCAAAATACCATTGAAAGTCCTTCATCTGTGTATGCTTGCTGAAAAGCCTTGCAGATAAATGTTCTAGGCTTTCCTTTTTTTTAAGTTAAAATTTGGGCACCAAGCCTAGATAATGAGTTAAACTCCCTTTCATGGATTCTTTTCAACATTTTTCTTATAAGATATGGAGAAAGTCTCCTTTGTAAATAATTTCATGGTTATAGCTAGGATCTTAGGTGGTTTTCTCTTAGTGGAATAAGGTATAAGGGCTTTGTAAATTTGAATACTTCAGTGCTGAGTTCACATACACAGTGGTCTTGTGTTAAACATTTGAAACCGGCAGAACAGTCTAAAAAGAATCACTTAAATTTCTATTATATAAGTTCATTATAGAAAATTGTGGGCATATACAAAACTATAAAGACCACTCATGATCCTTTTCACAAAAGATAACAGCTGTCAACATTTTGATGTTACTTTTAATGTTCTTTCTGTGTACATATATAATTTTAAAAATCAGAATCAGGCTCTATAATTTGTGACCAGGCCATTTGCACTTACATTGTGTTCTAATCATCATCATCATCATCTTTTTCAATAAATAGCCTGAAAGTATGATTTTTAATGATTATAAAAACATGATTTTTCAGATATAGCTATATCATTTAATTATTCCCAATATTTTGAGGGCATTTGTTTTGTTTTTTTTTGGCTTATTGTTTGGACATATCTGTACATACATCTTTTCTCCAAATTTCTATTTGAGGAAAGAGATAGATTCTAGAAAGTCAATTACTAAGTCTAAAGAACCTTTTTAAAGCTCTTTATATATACATTACCAAATTGCTTTTTAGAAAGATTATGCCAATTTAATCTATAACCTATAACTTACAATGGAAAAGAATCTGAAAAAGAATATATATATATATATATATATATATATATATATATATATATATATATATATAT